TACATCTAAAATATAGAACATATTGTCACTGTGACGGACGATTACAGACAAAATCGTTATCCGTTGGAGAAGATACGAACCAGTAGAACTAGAGTTACCTTTCTAAATTACGGTAATATTGAAAATATTATTAGCGCTTGAGGCTTTTTGATGTTCTTAATATATAAATTGCTAAGCTGTGAGATGAATGTAACCAGTATGCAAGTTTTTATATAATGTGTGTACCATGGGATGTAGCACAAACACGTCTACGCAAAGTATCGCTGTTGTTGCAATTGCAATTGCAAGCACGTGGACCTTTGTCGTTGATAATGTACAGTATATTGTAGCTGTCAATCAATATGCGCATGGATTGTTGTATATATCAACCTGATAGAATGCAATTATTTCATAGACCGACGCACTTTGGCGTCACGTATTTCAATTTTTGGCAAACAGCATGGGCTTCCCGACATACATGTTAAATGTTTGTGCTGCAAAATTCAATTGATGAGCCACTCTCGAGACAGAGAAGCAGTTAATACTTACATTACGGTGGTGTTTCGTATGTAACTACGTAATACTTACATCGTGGTATAGTGTTGACTTGCACAGTTACATACAAAGTTAGTTAATGTGAATAAAACTGTATAGGTAAAGGTGAAACATACACCGATATATTATTATGTTATTATGTATGCTATTACACAATTGTATATTACAATATATATATAATTCATATTCAATTGAACACCAAGCGTTACGGTTCTTATTACCTTTTCATCTTAGTTTAGTGAGACAATATACTTATGATAGAGTTTATAAAAAAATAGCTTAAACTAAACTTCACCATCCAAGGTTGGTTTATTCGCTTCCCCATTATACCTTGGCAGAATTATTAACCAGTATTCACTGTCGAAGAATTCAAGCACAGCAGTGCGTGCCCTAACTCATTTCCATCGAATTCCAAATAACCTGTTATGATACGTTTTCAAGGATAATCGAACGCAAAGTCATGTTGACTTAATATAATATGACAGCATTCATTTGTTTGAATTTGAAATTAATACGAGTTGTTGTTATTGTTGATTAACAGACCCAGTCCATTGGCAAGCACATTGAATCATTTAATCTAACCGAAGCCAAATAGAGATATTCCGAAAAATGACAACACACCTTGGGACGGGAATTTATGGTCGGTTTCACCAAAACCCTGCGAATCAGATGGTGCGTTCGTGCGATATTGTATTCAGAATAAAATAATCGATCAATAAGTGCAAAGTGCAGTCATCAAGAGACTGGACTGATCACTTTCGTTTAAAAAAAATATTTTATTCCAAACAGCCATTGATAAGATGGCAGTATTTGCTTGTATTCTCAATTGTAAACAGCAAAGCTTTAGAGATGAGACACGACAATAAGTTTCGTAATATTAAGCTGGGAAGTTTTTGTTTAGTTTTTATAATACGCTTAATCTCTGGTTTCCGCAACAAAGAAATTGACATAAAGAAATGACAGAATGGGGCAATAATACAGAGCAGTTAATCAAGGAAATGTACACCAGGTAGCTCGTCAAAATTGTTGAGTTGGGTAAATTAAATCATAAAGAAAGTTCTACAGACGATGGGATTTTTCATGACTGCGTTTATTGACACAGAATCATACATGTAGTAATACTACTGATAAACATGTGTCATATAAGTATTTATGAAATCACAACAAATATAATAGTTGAAATATACAGTGAAAGGCACAAAGCTAGGGGTTTGCTTATAAACGTGTTCATAAAGAATTACAAAAAAACGATCATCAGCTTTCATTCAAACTTGAATATTTAATAGTGGTTGACTCAAAAGCTAAAAACTGTCCACGTCTATAATGAGCGCGCATGCCACCACGTAACGTAGCGTCTGCGACTACCAACATATTTAAAATAAGGCGCTTTCTGATTAAATAATGTTCATTACTATTAACTAGAACTAACGTTGATATTACAATGCCATTTTAGGATTGGTCAATTTAAATTCTAGCATCAAATTATAAAAATGCATATTTATTTATAACGACCACAGTTTTATGCCCTTTACTGTAATAAATGTTGATATTTCTATTATGTAAAATTAACCTTCCAGTTGAATTTTCGAGGCGTCATACTATATTACTTTCTTTTCACGCACGAGCAGCATATCAAATAAAAATAGTTTACTCACTCATTGTATACAGAGAATGTTCTTGCATAATACAAACGTGTTATTTGATAATGCGCAAACAGTATGTCTTGTATTTGCCTTGTCAGTTTTTACTCATTTCCGCGTCACGACTCGATTTCATCGGAGTGAAATGCGTGAAATGAGATATACACATTTACATTTTACAATGAGCCCCGGGAACCCGGAAACATGTTATTGAAAAGTAGGCCTTAGGCTTTTCAGACGTAAATAGAAATTCTCTGAATTGAATGTCGCATTGGTTTAGTAAATTGTCAGTGAATGTACAGATCTTGTCTGGTGTATTCACTATCAATTCAGTATATATAATAACAAACGGTAAACAAATGCGAAACATGTTGTACCGGTAACGTATGTTTTGATTTCTCTGTAACTGATATCAATTTCTATTGCACGCAATATATGAATGATCACTAATCAAACTTTCTCCATAGTAATTGTATATTCCTCACAGCTGACTTCCTTTAACTACGCATGTATATAACGATGTTTCGATATGAAATGCAAACACGAAAATGCAGCTGGCATTGTTTGCAAAAAAAAAACAGATGGGTATTGTGGAAGCAAGGGTACGGGTATTCATCGTATCAATAATAATTGTCGTAAAATCTGTGTAATTATTCCCATAAAAATCATTGATGTTATTCTGTCGTTAATATTTTGCAAAACATTATTCATAAAAGATATCCAACTTTACAATTTCTATCGTCTCGTATTTTGTTCATTAATCAAAAAAATAAATCACCGTCATTTGATTAACGTCACAATAACGTTACTATTTGTTCCACATTATTTTGTCTTTGTCTTCTGCTATAATTGTATATTTTTTTTCCAATCACCGTGTTTACTTAGCACAATGCATATGTCCATATGCTTATGATCAAACAGTTTCGAAATGGTAAATATTAATGTTACGGATCATAATATAATCACACTACAGGTCATGACCTGTAATCCAAATAAGTAGCTTATTATTGGGTGTATAATGTTACCTATCTTTTGAATTCAATTGAATTAAGATAAGAGATTTGCATTTGTATTCTCCGATGATCCCGAAGATTGCAAACGTACTGTTGAAAAGATAGCCAGAGGCGCTTGTATTGTGAAAAGAGTAATTTTTCTCCGCATTAAATATCGCCTTGGGTTAGTATACCGTCAATGTGCACGTCATTGTATGAATCGTATGCAGATTAGTCGCTACATAATGTAATGCCGTACTATGATAGATGATGAGTGAAAAGAGAATCCTTATAGCTGTGAACGTAACACCCCTTGACGTTTTTGCGTATTGTATCTATTAAAATATATTGTATTAGTCCTTTTGCGAAACGTTGTATATTTCAATTATATGTCAGTTAAATCAATGCGATGCACTTAAACTGTCCAGATTGACTGTGTTTTTCACGTTTTGCATAATCATTAATCCATCTGCGAATAGATTTGATAAACTGAAATGTTGTTGTAAAGTTAAATCAATCTAAATAAGATACATTAACACTTTTTTTAGGTATATATTCTGTATTTTGGGCATAATAAACTCAAAATCATAGTGTTTTACATGATTAGAATTACTATATCAACTGACTTCAATTCAGTAGAAATAAGGGAGGTTAGGACTATAAAATTATTTGTTAAATGTTTGTTTTTTCATGAAAATCTGATTTAGATAGCTAATAGAAAGGCCGATGTTATATTATAAAATTCATTTTCGAAACTCAATCGTTTCCATAGTAACTAAGAAAAGGCGTGTTTATTTAATATATCAAACAATTTGGTGTGATGAAAAAATAGTGTTTTGCGACTCAACATTATATGAATTATATATTTTGGCAACCAAGAAAAAGGCTAAAATTCGAGTTACCATGTGTTGTTGAAGCAAATCCCTTTATACTTTATACTTATATTGAAGAGAAACATTACATATGCATACCGAATTTTCAACAAAAATCATCAAAACGTTTTGCATAAAAGGATATTAATTAGTAATTAAAGTTTAACTTACTTATACCATGATGTTCGACAAACGCAGTTCAGTTTGAAAACAATCATTAATGAAGTAAATTAATTTATTAATATGCATACTACATAACCGCGTAGCATGTATTTATGGAAAAAAAATATATTTTTGGTCAAAACTTTGTGGCGTGCTTGGCCCAATTTAAGTTGGCTACCGGATCTGTCTGGCAGTATTATAGAATAGTGGCTGCGGATTTCTGCTGCACATGCCATCGCCATTCTGATACAAAACGCTGTAAGGCTACAACAATGACAGCGTGGTCGTTTTTTTCAATCGTACGGGTTCTTCTACGCGGCATCGAGCAAATTTGCGAGTCAAATGTGAGATATTTGTCACCAATTTTATAAATAAGCTTTATGATAGAGCGATCTCAATGTAAATGGTCACGTGACTGTACCTCCTACAAGCATTTTAATAATTTTGGTTGTCATATATGCCCTCTTCGTGATATACTGCAAAATACCTACTTAAGCTATATGCTCGTTAAATTTGATAAAAGCATTTTATGACAATTGTCGACATTTAATGGCATTAAAAATCAGTCGTTCAAGGTAGAACTCATTCAAAACGATGTGGACATTGATATTATCATACTTTACGGATAGTCGATAAGATTTCTAAAATCTGAATGAGATGGTGACATTTATTTTACTGAATATTCAGTGCCGAGTTATCACATATGAACCAATAAATCATGAAGTAAGGTATTATCGTGCAATATTTGCGAGAAATAGAAGTGCTTCTTCGCGCGCGTGTTTTTTATATGTTGTGTTTAATCACATTATGAGACAGCTATTTCGACCTCTCATTTTGCCAACGGTCGGTGGTTTATCCCAATTCGCATCTATCAGTTTCATCACTTCATTGAATAAGGAAACAATGTGCCAATTGTATTTTGCAGAACACTCAACATATCCGGACTTCCAGTTCTTTCTGATAACATGCGACACGTCTCTCCTGGACAGGCCATTGCATTTACCCAGATCACATTTATTCCCCGCGATCACCGTAGTTACATCACTCATACCACCACCGCGATAATCTATTATCTGTTCGCGTAGATCTTTGACGTACTGAAAACTGTCAGAATTAGAGACATCGAAAATTAGAATAAACGCTGAGGCATCTTTCACTTTGTCCGAATATGAATGAAAGTCCACCCAGTCGTAGAAACTCTTCATTTGAAAGTATTGCAGTGGAGGGGTGTCGATTATATTCAGTTGATAGAGCCTCGTATTCGCTAACACAACTGGATTATGCGTGGACGGTGATTTAGTTGGTGAGTGTTGGTTCGGAAAGGTACAGTGCATGTACTGTTGAATAATAGCGCTCTTACCAACGGCGGGTGCGCCGAGTACGGCTATATCAATCGTCTGCATATTAGTTACAATGTTATATCATATCGGTGGTTATACCAGTAGAATAAGACAACACAACGCTTCTACATTAAGCAAAATAATGTCGGAATCACTGTGGAACGACCTTCAAACGTAAATCCTGTCCAAGTTCCGCCATAACCTTTGCAAACTACTCGCTAGTAATACAGCAATTAGAAGTAACACTTATAACGGTCGGAGTATATATACTAATAATGAGCGTGGGAGGAACATATATCTCGTCAATTCCATCATCACCTTTATCCGATTAACATCTGGCGATGAACTTCGATGAGTGGGCTGTCTAGTATTCAGTCGTCATCAGCAAATACAATATGCAGTGTAAGGATAAAACCAGTTAAGGAGTGCCCCCTAGGTTCAATAAAAAAAGACAATAATCAATAAAGCATAATAGCTACATGCACAGATATTGTGATCTGTGTGTATACACTGCAGTGACACTTTCTAAATTGGTTCAACGTCTTTGCGTTTCCACCTGACAGTTCAAACTATTCTACTTGTGGCGCCGAAGAAATAAACACAGTGTAATATAATGCAGTCGTATGTAATTAATACTAGTATGGATATACTGAAGGAATGAAAACAAAAAAAATACAAAGCTGAAACCTGAAAAAGAAGAGCAAACAACTGAATCAATATTTTGTTATCGATTGAGATTGATTTCACAAACACACTAGAGGTTGTATTTTCATCACCTATGCCATTAGCGATGCCCGAGGCGCACCTGCAGCGTTGTGTAAACGGGAATCGTTTCAACACTGTCTTAGGAAATAGAGATTATAAGATTTGATTGAAGGATATTGCTTTTGATGAAAGTGTGTTATTTATAGTTGCATGGGTAAACAAAGTGACATCGGCAATTAAATTTCCTTATAATCAAATATACTATGCAGTAATAAATTTGCTATATGACTAATCAAATATACATTGTCTGGTGCAACGCATGAATTTGTAGATTTCTTATAATTGCAGGTATATGTCGAACATCGTCTCAATGGTCATGCGCAAGGTGAATCTATTGCGACACAACTTGCCTTCATATAACGCCAAGTATGTTTACGGTCAGTACGAACTAGACAATTACGATTTTTTTCGGGGTACAATACATATTGTCGAAAGAGTTACCATCGAATCTGTCTTGCTCACGAGCCACCGTAGTTTTGCATACTCGTGATTCACAGCCGTTCATTCACAAGTATTATGGTTTCGGAATACATATTGGTGTTGGAAAACTCGGAAATTCAAATACTAACATTTACGTTAGGGGTGAGAGATTGGAAATACTATGATTACGAATGACTACAGAATAAAACGATATCGTCGATTGAACGGTCCTTCTCGAACCAATTAACTGTTTTGGCTGGGGGACGACTTGTTGATGTAGTTGTATTGATGTGAAATTCGCAATGGACAGTATTGAGTTCAAGTGAACAGAGTACATTGACTAATTTGTCACTGAATCAAAAGGAATTATTGTATATGGCGGAATTTACTACAAGACATAGTCATTCACACTAACGAATATTCAAGAGATCCGAGATTTACAAATACAAATAGTATTACTATTCCGCCGCTCGTGCTGCATATGATTTATGATAATGGTATTAGTAAGAGAAATTAAAACATTTTAATATATTATGTCTTACATATATGAGAAGGTACATATCATCTAATCTAGTAATCTAGCTACTTGTTATTTGTGTATTCATTTAGTGGTTATAATAAGCGTAACGTAGGCCACTGGTTCTGAAAACTGTTGGAATATCCAAATTGAATGTTTCATGAAAGGAATGTACAAGTTCAAGACGAGAAACCAGCGCAAATACGAATGAAATGTACAGTTCAGTGCAATCAACACACAAACAATAAGTCAGCGTCGACAAACGTGGGCACGCCCTGATCCACTTGTAGCACTCGCCATATAACAAATATGACAATAAAAACGTTTGAGCATTTGAAGACTTTACTTCTAACAGAGTTACTACACTAATACTTTGTCAATGTTAAAGTCAATTCGACAACAGTTGTTAGCAATTCTACCTATATTTAAATGTCCGGGCATAGTAATTTGGATAGGGTAATGTACATTGCGTTATCTCTAAAATACAGGTCACAGACTAACTAATAAACCTTGCATGCTGGGAAAAGCACATCAGATTTTCTTCTAATAATGGATAACATAGTTCATGGTATCATATTTGCATATTGAATTGAAATTGGATGTTGGTGGGTAAGATTACTGCGCCCACTGGGTTAAGTGCCAGTACATGTATATTGAATTTATACATAGCACCACACGCTGGGTTAAATGCTTGCCATATGGCAACTATTTCCCTTTCATTATATAGGGTGTAATTATTATAATACAGGATTCCGATGAACTTTAACACTTAACACGCCGATCAATAAATGTGCACGGACGATTTAAGTCATTTATTTTGTGATGCGATAGATACTGAGATCAAAGATTACAATCTGTCAATAACAGACGTGCATTAAAGGAAGGAATTCTGTCCAGTCAATAAACACCGCTTTTGCCCTGGGGTTGTTACTCATGTATAGTACAGCAATTATCTTTTAGTCTATTCACTGCTGTATTGGCAATATATGTTATAATTGGATTTCAGTTCAATCCAGTTTAAGCTTACGCATGGCGAAATTACACATCACTAACTCAAAATGATGTAGTTTGTTATTTGTGGATGAGATCCGTATTATGACACATATTTGTCCAGTTTTAATGGTTTGCATGATAATGAACAGTCCATTTATTTTCTACACAATGCATATTAAGTATATCAGTAGATTGTTCAATATATGATTATTATGTAAACAGTTGACTCACTTCTTGATTTAAAAATCTGTTATATTTTAAAAAATCATACTATGTTTCTTTTATCTTTAGCAAACTACTGTAAATGTTTTAGTCTAAGTAAAGCCAGAATCGGACTGTATGCAAATCAAGTATTTTCTCTGCTTCAAAATCATTCCCCGGATTGGTAGCAATGCCCTCGAAAAGTAAAAGTCATATATTTGTTACAAATAACAAGCCGTCTGAATGTGAAAACAAAATGAATTTGATATAAACCCACTCAAACACACGCTCTCTGATTCCCAAATAAATAAATAAATAAATAAATAAATAAATAAATAAATAAATGAATGAATGAATGAATGAATGAATGAAATGAAATGAAATGAATGAATAAATAAATAAAT